ACTGAAAGCCTGAATAGGCATCCATAAAGCTCATCAAATCATGTCCGGCTGTAGAGTCGACCAGAATATCGATCTTTGGAAGTGGATAGCTATCCTTCGGACATGCCTTGTTCAAGTCAGTGTAAACAACACACATGTGCCACTCCATTCGGCTTCTTTACAAGCACAACATTCGTAACCTAATTCAGGAAGTAACACTGCCGGATGAACACGACGTCAAACAGGTTTTTCACTTCGGCGGCTGTCGCCTGAGTTTTTTCCTCGGCGTGGTTTCTTATCTTTTGCCTAGCCGGCTTCTTTTTAGGATACACGGCGAGCTTGTGGACAGCTAGATCCGGGCTGATGCTTGGCATCTTTTCCACTTCAAAGGCAAAGATGTTATTGAATTCCTTCAACAAATTATGCAAGTATGCACCCAATTTTGTAAAAGCAACCGTCCCCACCTTAACAATACGCTCCGGACGTGTGTTATTTAGAGCAATATTAGTGTGTTCACCTGCCGACTGGGGACAGAGTTCATCCGACCGTTCTCTAATCTGTGATTGCTATTTCTTTTCCTTCTTCAAGGCCACCAGCTAGTCGGCCTTTCTCTTCTTGTCGGCTGCTGTTGGAGTAGGCTCGGGTTCCTTGACATCGTCAAGGTCTATTGGCTCCTCACCCTGGCATGATGCGGCCACTATGGGTTTGACGTCTGAGAGGTAGCACTCTCTACCCGTCTTTCGGTCCCCGTTCAGGGAGCCAACAGACCCATCATCCTTCTCAAATTTCAAGAGCATCAGGGATGGAATAATAACAGCCTTGGATTCTTTTAGAGTTGGACGACCCAATATCAGATTATAGGCAGTCAGCTCCTTTACAACCAAGAACCGAACTACGATGTGGCGTCCCTCTCCTTTCTCCCCCAGCCGGATGGGCAGGTCAATCCGTACGACTGAGTGCACAACCCCACCCCAAAAGCCAACCAAGGGGTGAGACACCTTGTGCATGCTGCCGGGCTTGTACTTAAGCTTTGACAAGCACTTGTGGCTGATGATGTCAAACAATCTTTCGGTGTCAATGAGGATCCGGCCGACCTTCTGGTTGGCCACTTTGCACTCAATGCAATGGGCTTATTATGCGGTCGGCGAACCATGCCCCTATCCTTTCAGTGATGATGACCTCAGGGAAGGTGTCAGTAGATGCCTGGGCCTCATCAACTTTAGTGACTTTAGCCGTCTGATATGGTCCTTGGTGCCCCTGATGGTCGGGCCCCCTCCAGCAAAACCGCCTGCTATTGTGTAGATCAGCTCTTTGTTAGTGCCCAAAATAATGGCAGGTTGGGCATCCTTTTTGGACAACTGCCAAGGGTTTTTCCTCAGAGTCACCTTAGAATTTAGGATGAAAGACTTTAACATCCTTATATCAGCCAGGCGGTCCAACAGACGCTTGAGACTACAGCAGTCGTTGGTGTCGTGGCCAATATCTTCATGGCAATGGCAGTACCTGGTTTTGTTCCGATTTTTCGCGGAACCATTCATAGCAGTCGGCTTCTCTGTGGTCACGGTCTTTTATCTCCATGAGGAAGGAGTAGCAGTCTTTGTTAAACTCGTACTTTGGGACGTACGTTTTAAACTCTTTCTTTTTCTTCTGGGACGACTGATTAGAGTCGTCAAAAGCCCAGATCTCTTTTCTCTTCCTACTCTATTCAGCTTTCTTAGCCACTTGAGCTAGCCAACTCTCTTTTTTGTCAGACTTCTTGAAGTCGGACTGTTTGCTGATGGAGCAGAGCTCGGTGTTAGTTTCGTAGAGTCCGACTCTACGCGGAAGAGAAACCCGCCAAAGACCAACCCACTAATTAAGGCAACTAAGCATGCAATCACAAATTAAACAACAATTAAGAGAGAGAAGGAAAAGATATTCATACCCGAGCTCTTACTACAAAACTTGAACCTCGCAAATGTGACGGTCTCCAACGGCTCGTACCCACAAACCCGACCCAAACGGTCCTAGCCCCGTAGGTTAGTAGGGAATTGACCAATAAAAACTAGATTTTTATGAACTTAAGGTTTTCTTACTTTTCTATGAAGATGCCTTTTTAGTTCCACTCAAGTGTTCCCATTCTCAATCAATGTGAGAGATTTGCAATTTTCCCTATTTTATTTTAATCAAAACAAAATAAAATTGAAATTCAATCAACAAGTTACAAGTGGCAATGGGAAGAAAGGGAGAAGGTGAGGACCACCAAGGGAGGGGACCATCCCACCTTGCTCCCCAAGGCAAAGACCAACCATTGGTCTCCACTCACAAAACCAGACCGCCAAGCCACGTGGCTGGCTGGCAGCCTGGCTTGGCTACCAAGGCTGCCAACTGGCACCTAGCACCAAGGCTGGGCAGCCGAGCCAGCCACTTAGCACATACGCAGAGCCAGTTCGCATGCGCAGCCAGCTAGCACAAGGCCGGCCAGCACGCCTGCCTCACTAGCACACATGCACAGCCCAGCATGCCAAGCACGCTGCTGGCTGGTGCATGGTGTTGTGCGATGCTGCGGCTAGCAATGCGCCAGCGCCAGGCCCTAGCATGCTAGTAAGCACCATGCATGCGATTCTTGAGGGCAGTGCTAGCTCATACCTAGCATGATGTGATGGCTATGCCTAACAACGCATGCTCAGCCCCACCACACGCATGCACGCATCTTGCGATATTTGTGCCATGTGATGTGCATGTGCTAAGGGTTGCTAGGAACGCATTGCTTATGGGACCTTGCCTAGCCTAGCACTCACATGGCTAGGCCAATGCGAGGCTACAGTTAGGCTCGAACTTGTAACTTGATTGATTTCACGTCTCGTCGAATTCTAAATTCGACTCGACTTGCGACGCTCGGTCTCGACGCTCTAAGCTCGATATCCGACGTCTTTATTCGTAAAACTCTGACGAGTCATCAGATCCTTCGGATTAATTCGTCGTCTGGGATCAGTTGTTCGATTGGGTTTGACCCGAAGGGTTCAGTTAAGATTAAGCTGTAATATTAATTGCACTTGTTGGAAGGACACCATTCCTTTCAGTCTCCCACTTGTCCTTCCGGACAAGTGTGCAATTAATGTATAGCCCTTTTCTTATGTCTCTTAATGTCTCTTCATGAAATATAAGGTAAGATTCTCCGTCATCCTTATTACGTCAAGAAGTGTTTCTCGATTCTCGAGTTTGACTGTCAATAAACAGATGATTTCTAAATTCCATCTGAGCACGGCCATGCATTTTCACAGTCTCGCCCTTCGAGAGGCCTTATAAACAACAAAGACATATTCCCTATTGTTAATAGGGGGACATTCCCAGGCTTGTATTGTAAGCTTCCCTTACTAAGAGGACCTAGTCGCCTGAGTGTTGTCGTTATAATCCCCATTTACGGCAGACGTTTGACAACATCAATACGGACTAGTACTCAAACAAGAGTCCTTACAATACTCATGGTCGAGGAAAAAGGTTCTGATAGCTATAATGAGAAATATACTTATGACGATTATTAAATCTCTTAAAGAACTCTCATAGGTCGATCTGATACAGTTCCAAACTAGTACCTGTGCAAATGATTTATGACTATCATGTCCTCGTAGCACAAGAAACGGTGCTATAAATCATACTACACACTAATCCCAAGTGGTCATTAATCGTCCATCATTTAAATGACCTTTATTAGGGATAACTTTCTATTGAAATATTCAATGTTCACTTAACAGGTGTTTCTTTATCCAAGTCACCTGAGTCTTGATACCCTGTTTTGAATATTCTCAGAAATCAAATTGACTCATTATCTAATTCTAAACAACAATTAAATATTTTGTGGAATTTATTAGTAAAATATTATTCCACCATGAAACTTTTCAACGCTTCATCTTATGATAATTGGTTTTCCCCAAATGTTTCAAGAGTAACACTCTTCACAAAACAGTTATAGAAATCACACCCATATTTAATATTCTTGATTTCTTTCATGCAATCTAGTGAATGTTGTCGTTCACTTATATTGCATAAGTTAGCTACTATTACTTTGCAAATCTTAACATCTTCATTATCGAACAATTTCATAATAAGATGATAAAATTTAAAGAGTGTTGTGGATCATATGTGATTTAGGATTTATTGTCCAAGTGATGGCTCCCACTAATTTTCATGACTTGAGATCTTTCAACTTGAAAACCTATAATCAATGTTTGATAACGAACTTTTCATTGAACACTTTCTTATTATTGCCTTCTAGGCAACAATATTCTCAACATATATTTCAGTAAACATTCTGATGGTGCTTTGCTTGGATTTCATTCCAAACGGCTCACAATGATTTGGGAGACCCTAATCACTTGTGATTATGGAAATTTACCTTAAATTTCCACACATTATACATGGATGCGCGTCCATGTTACCCTTCTCAAGCCACGACGCGCTCTAGCTCGTGCTTATAAACGGCTTCTTTATTAAGGATCTAATCCTTGCTAAGGATGTGCTTGCAACATCAATTCTCAAATTACATTTGTTTCCATGCGTCAATAACTTCTCCCCTTTTACTAATGAAAGTACTTTGGATTTTTCTTGATCATAATCTAACGATTTATCAGTTAGATTTAAATTGATTGGTATTTTATTGTAAGTCGAGTGACGACTCCATATCATAGCATACATGATGGTTTTAATTGCAGAATTATTCCCAATATGTTCCATTCATGTGACCTTTCACTAGTAGAAAAATTGAAAAAGACACCCCCCTTTTCCCACCGGTTCTTTAAAACCGGTGGGAAAAGTTAAAAAAAAAAAAAAAAAAAAAGAGGGTAAAGGGATATGCCACCGGTTCAACCCAAACCGGTGGGAAAAGTATTTTCACAAACGGTTCGAACTGGTGTGCAAATAAAAAAAAAACCACCCTAATTATAATCGTGAAATACTCTTCTTCTTCCATCAGTATGTTTATTTCATTCCCTGCTTCCCCTTCAATTAATCTTCCTTCTCTCGTTCTCGCCTACCCTCACCATGGCTCTCCTTCATGCATAGGTTTTCCTCCGTTGAAGCGCATTCTGGGCTTTCTCACCTCCATTGCCGTGCAACTCCTCTCTTTCTCTCCATATATAGCTATCTCCTCCATTGAAGCGCATACTGTCGAGCTTTCTGACCTCCATTGAAGCGCATTTCGAGCTTTCCAACTCCATTGTAGAAGCTTCGAGGTAAGAAATATTTCGTGGTATTCCTAGTCTATTGAATAGCTTCGCAATCTAGGGTTAATCGTTGATTTAGGATTTTCTGTTCTTTGTGGTTTGCTTTGAGATTTTGGGTGGATTATGCAAAGAAGCTCATAAATAACAAACATTGACTTCCTCAACTTGTTAGCTAGGGTTTGTCATTGAAGCGTGCACGGCTCTACCTCCACCACAACGGCCTCCTTATCACGGCGCCAGGGCCTTCTTTTTCTAGGGTTTATCGTCAATTCCCCCCTTTTTCTTCGATCTTTTTTGTTTGATATTTTTTTATTATTGAAGATTTCTTGTGTATTATGTGTGTTAGTGTGTGATTGCTGTTTGTTTTTGTTTCTTTGAGATGTACTGGTACAACTGTTAGTGTGTGATGAAACATAATTCATTGAAATTATGTTGTTCAAGCTTGATGGTATGTCTCTTTTCTCAACATTGATTGAATTTATATGATGAATCAAGTGTTGTGTTTAGTATCTGAATCGTATTTGTTCTTCAGGGTTTTCAGCGAAGAGCTGAGTTGAAGGGGAGGGTTAGATGAGCTTTGAAGCACTCGTAGTCAATTGAATTGCGCACTAAGGATGTAAGTGTGATATTGCACATTATTGGTGAGCTAAAGATGTTTTGTATACTTTTCAATTCTTTTCCCTACATTGTGTTGATATGATATTTGCCTTAATTAGTGATAATCAGTTGTCGCTTTTAATGTCATTGTCCTCATTAATATAGTTAGCAAGAGCCTAAAACCACATGTTATCAGGCCATCAAATTAAGGGCTTAGCTTTCTTCCTTACTCATTCTCCTCCACCCCCATAAAAGATAAAAAAATAAAAAATAAATAAAAAAAGGTACAATTTTCAGAAAAAAATTCCCCCCTTTCTTCTGTAGCTTAGTGACTGTTTGTGGCTTATGTTTGCTTGTTTCATGCCTCTAATGATCAACTATAGCTTGTGAACTTTACGTAATGAGTATTGAATGAAATTAAGATCAATTTCTTGACAACGTATACACTGTTTAGAATTGGGATTTGAGTGCCCTTTATGTGGGCTAATCTTATCTTTGATATTGCTCCAATAGCAAGAATTCAGCATACCTTACATAGTAAATATCAAATTAGGGTTAAAACTTAAAACTATGTTGTGTGGTTAATTAATACACCCTATATAATTTGGACATACGTCGGGATTTCCCTAATAATCTTTCATTGTATTGTCGGTAGCTCATAATTTTGCCTTTTATATAGTTGCCTTTTAAAGCTTGTATTTGGGGCTATATCTCAATACATGTTTAAAACGAGTTGATGGCAACCAATTAATTAAGTAATAATGTATAACTTATTTACGTTGTAGTGCAATGGTTGGTCTTCACATGCTTCTGAAAATGGAAGCGCAAATCAAGGCCTAATGTTTGTGTAAATGACGAGAAAATTTACAATTAAAGTAGGAACAATTTCCATCTTAGTCTGTTAACAAACATTGTGGTACTCAAGCTTGTGTGTTATTAGTTGAGTATACATTGATGATTATGATGTGATTTATGTCTTCTCCTTTGGACCATAACTCTGGCAACTTTATGGTTTTTATTTCTTTTGAAGCTCTAATCCCATTATGTGCTCGTTTGGCACTTCACCTAGCTTATGTATAAACTCTACAAGAAAGCACAAATGAAAAATTCCTGACATGTGAAACCTAATGTTCCTATTTATTCTTATTAGAATTTGATTGTTGATTCTTGATTGAAAAATGTCTTACATTACCAAATATGTGGCATGTTGTCCCTTATTTGAGTGCCTTTGTGCTCTATATTTTCCATCTTTTATTGTGTTTACGGCATCGACTAGGGCTACACGACTACTCCATAGTCCTATACTCTTGTGGATGAATTGTTGCAAATATTAGTTGCCTAGGGTGTTTGGCTTTCAGAGTTTCATGCTTTTTTTTCTTTTTTTTTTAATGTATATATTTTTCCCTCAGTTTTGATTTGTATTATAAATTTTCACCTTGTCTGCTAGCATGGCATAGTGGAGTTAATTTCATTTTAATCAAATTGTAACGTTTTTATTTTTCCAGGAACTTAGTTGAGCTCGACGTTCAGGAAAATGGAATTGATGACCGCAGTGGCTGTTGGTTGAGTTGCTTTCCTGAAAACTTTACTTCATTGGAAATTCTAAATTTCTGTAATCTTCATTCAGAAATCTGCTTTCCGTCCCTTGAGAGACTAGTAGCTAGGTGTAAATCTTTAAGGGTCTTAAAGGTGAACCTGGAGCAGCTACTGAGGTTGCTTACTCATGCTCCTTGGTTGACACAGCTAGGCACAGGTGCCTTCTCACAGGAGCTCTAGCCAGCTCAGTATTCTAGTCTCGAGAGCGTGTTTAACAACTATCACAGTCTTCAAACTATCTCTGGTTTATATGAAGCTCATCCACTCTGTTTGTTTGGTAATTTTGTTATAACAATCTTATAAGTAGTTTTTATTAGTGTTATTAGTGATTTGGTTTGCTGGGTTCTGGCTTTGTTGAGTTCAGGTCTGCTAGGGTCTGGTTTACAAACGCTCGGGTTTCTGGTTTCTGGTTGCTGTGCTGTTCCTGGCTATTGGGATCTGGTTGCAGGCTCTGGTGCAGTTCATGTGCTGGATTTGGTTGCTGCAGGTGTTGGGTGGGTGGCTATGCTTGGTATGCTCATTTGTTTGGAAACCTGCTGCTGGAAGCCTGCTGGCTGTGTCTGTTTGGGTTGTTTCTGTTTTTTGTTTCTATTAGGGTGGGCTGCTGTCTTCTATTGCAGTGCATCATGGTTGGCTATTTTTGAAGAAAATATATATGTTAGTGTTTATATTTCCATTTTTGTTTTAGTTCTTTAAAGTGTAATATTACAAGTTATTGAGGCAAATATATGGGTTTTATGTATATTATGACTATATATAAGTATTTGGTACAATTTAAGTGAAAAAAATGCAAAAAAAAATAATTTTTTTTTTTAATTTTTTGGGGCACTTTTGGCACTGGTTTTGGAAAGAACCGGTGCTAAAAGTTTTTTTTTAAATTTTTTTTGGAGACTTTTGGCATCGCTTCAATGGGTAAACCGGTGGGAAATGTCATGGTTTTGCCACCGGTTCACCCCAAAACCGGTGGGAAAAGTCTTCCATCTATAACATAAATCATATGTTTTTGCCACCGATTCACTCCAAAACCGGTGGGAAAAGTGGTTTTTGCCACCGGTTTTGAACCGGTGGGAAATCTTTGAGGATTTAGCACCCCCCAAATCAAGAACGGTTCAAAACCGGTGGGGAATGTGTGGTTTGAACCGGTGGGGATTGGGGTTTTTCGCCTAGTGTTTTAGCTCATCCACTATCACTGAGTCTTGGTAAAATGTTTGCTATGTGATATGGTTGAAAGTCTCTACTAGAGTGTTTCTTGTTTGAATTAGTATTTGCCCAACTTATACTTAGTTCAAATATTTACTTAGTTTTATGGGTCGAAAGCCTTTTCAAGTCTTCATGTTTAACATGGTAAATTTCTCTACACGTTTAAACATTTCATTAAGTCTATCCAATAGATCTTAATTCCCACCATGTACTAAGTATCGCCTTTTGCTTGGTTCATTGCCGAAAATCCTTTCAAATCAAAGAATTTAGCATTTGGTAGTCATTTCACAACAAGGTTCGTAAACTTCTTGTTGGACCATTCAAGATTGACTCTTGCTCCCACTAAACTTCTTGTCCATAAGAATTTCTATGATTCTCCATAAGTCAAACCTTTTATTGACTTTATGAGAATATATGTTCTAATTCCTACATGCAATGCTTCACTTAATCCCATAATGGATTTCTTGAGCTTGCTTTCAAATCTAGCATTATTTAGATTCTCAAAACCCTTAGACTATTTCCATAGTCTCTTCCTAAAATCCCATTTTAGGAAGGCGGTTTTGTTATCTATTTTGCCATATTTTATATGCGCAATTTTGCTAGAATAATCACGAAAAGACTTAAGCGTTCCGATTGGTGAATAGGTTTTTATTAAAATCAACGCTGTGAATTAATTGCATCCTTTTCAACCAATCTAGGTTTGTATGCACTATGCATTTCACATTTGTCAGTTTTCTTCTTGAAAACTTATTTGCAATTGATGTGTCTTTCACCCTTCATGCAAATGAATCAAGTTCCAAACATGATTTACAAACATGGAGTCTATTTCAGATTTTATGGCCTCTAACCATTATTCAGAATTTTGATTTGTCGTAGCTAATTTAGAAGACACTATTCCCTCACCATCCAATGGTAAATAATATGCTTGTAAGTCTTAGGTTTATTTCTAACTTAATAGAAATTTATAGGATTCAATCCAAACCTTTGGTGAATTCTATACCTATACGGGTAATTGCATCAAACACTGAGTTTCAAGGTGCTTTTAAAGCCCTTTGATTATATTGATCTTACTCCACTACTTCTAAAGTTTTGTGAGTATTGAATTCTCATTTAAGGCACTTGTAAAGTCCTTTGAGTATTCTTGATCAATCATTCTCATGAAGGCCTTCTAAAGTCTTCGGAGATTCTCATTTTAAGTTTGTTGCTAATCTCGATGGTCATCGAGTTCATTTTCCTCCCACTTGTTGTTTTAGAAATGTGTTACTTTCCAGAAAGACACCACTTAGAGCAACAAATACTATGTTCTTAATTAGGTTGTGGAAGTAATGCTCGTAGTCTCACTTAAAAACTTACAAAGAGACATGTATATTGTCTTTGGGTAAAAGTTCGTTGTGAAACAAACAGTTAGCTCCTTCTTGAGCTACCTTAGCTCCTGTTGAGCCACTTAGCTCCCACTGAGCCAATGAACTCCCACTGAGCTAAGAGCCCTAGACATATATACTTGAAAAGATGCAAGTAACTATTTTTATCCATAACTGAATATGGTGTCCTTTCATAGCTTTAATAAATTTTCTGTTTAGTGTAACACTAGTCATTTTGTGCAAATCTTTAGGAACTTTATAGGAAGGGATGTGATCCATCACATTCAAGTCATTTCCAAATGGCATCGAGGTCTCCGTCAAGACATACTATATTCTTTGTGGAGCTAATTATGAAATTTCAATTTCATAACTTTGATATGGTCAATCTTGGCTCAAGCAAACATCGCTTGATCTAATCTAGACGTTTTGATATCTTGCCAAGTTGATTCTATACTTCACTAAACATTTGAGATACTCAAGGTCCAATTTGTTCACATTTGTTGAATGTAGGCACATTCTTTCAAATTCTTGTGAGACGTTGAAGTAATGGAATCCTCTATAGCTTTTGGAGTCAATGGTCTATGCCAAGCACAATAGCTTCTTTCTTTGTCTATTTCAACAAGTAAGACTTGCTTGTCTTAGAACGATTCCGAATCGATCTACTATGAAGAATCTATCAAATAGAGCCTTGAGTAGGTTCTTGTCGATGTGACATTGCTAAAGATGTTTGGAGCACAAATCATGTCCATGACTTAAACCTTGTGAGTTTTCATGTTAGGGAAATGTTTCTTTATAATCTAGCATTCTTGACTCATGGCTTAGACAACCATGCCATTCAAATAAAACCCGCAACTATTGCTCTTTTATTGAATTAAATGTGAGTCTTTCCGTGTGTAAACGAATTGTTTGCTGATTATGGAACACAATAACCATTATTCGTTCCAGCCTTGGCTCAAAAGGACTTTAAACAAAACAAATGACCTTACAACTGATGTAGCACTACTTGCTTCATTCTGAAAGGAATGATGTCCTTCTAACAAGTGTATTATTCTGATAGAGGGTTCAGAATTATTGCAGAGCTAATTCTTCAGTAAGGTCAAGTGATCGGAATGCCTAGGTGGAGGCCGCTTCCGATCAGTAATATTAAGGTATAATAATTAATATTACAGATTACTCTTAACTGAACCCTTTGGATCGAACCCAATCGAACAACTGATCCGAGACGACAAATTAATCTGAAGGATTCAATGAGTCGTTAGAGTTTTTCGAACACTGACGTCGGATATTGAGCCTAGGGCGTCGAGATCGAGCGTCGCAAAATCACAGCCAACAAGTTCGAGCATAGCCTTAGCATCACATTGGCCTAGCCATGTGAGTGCTAGGCTAGGCTAGTTCATCGAAAGCCTAGGCGCACCATGTGTGTGCTAGGCGCACCATGTGTGTGCTAGGCGCGCCATGCGTGCTAGGCGCACAAGGTAGCCCATCGCAGCAGCATCTTGCGTGTGTGCGTGCCTTGAAGATTTCAAGATTTCAAGGGGTCATGCTCGTTGCCAAATGCATCTATTTTTATGCTCTATATATATTGTTGTTATATATATACTTGAATGTTAGTTGCATGTCTAGGATTTCAAATGTTTCGATGATTAGTTAAGTTCACTTAAATCAACCAACATAGAAACCCTAGGTCCCTTAATATATTGAGCTAAAAATTTGTCGTTCCAAGAACAACACTTACTGAACTAATGCGCGTATGTGATAGGCTACGCCAAAGCGAGAAATCACTACTTCCCTAGGAACGTAAGGTATACTAGGTATACAAGTTGTCTTGGTTAAGCTCAACGATATCAGTAAGGAGTCCTTAGATGTTGTTTCGGGGTTTTCTGAGGTGTCCTGCAAGAAAGTTACAACACCGAGACTGACCTACAGCTGCCTGTACCTGTAAAACAACGGAGACTCCCAAGGGTGGGAGTTCCGCCTCTGACAATCAAGTTAGAATGTGTTTGAGGAGTAATGTGCGGAAAGTGATAACCCCTCCTGAGTCAGGAGGGTTCTGCAATGAAGATTTCTCAATAACCCCTCCTGAGTCAGAAGGGTACCATAAGTAATAACCCATCCTGAGTCAGGAGGGTTCTGCAATGAAGATTGCTCAATAACCTCTCTTGAGTTAGGAGGGTATTATAAGTAATAACCCCTCCTGAGTCTGGAGGGTTCTGCAATGAAGATTGCTCAGTTTTTGGGTTGGTTGAATGTGTATTCAATGTATGTTATGTTGGTTTTTCATAAATGAGGATGGTTCCTCTATTTATAGAGAAGGAGATCAATCCCCTTCTAGGGTTTGGTGACACGTGTTAGCAAGCTATTGGGACACATGTTGCGTTAACAGTGGTCCGTTTGTTAGGGGTATTTTATCCCAAACATTAGCCCCTCGAAAGGAGTAGTCTCTCTTTTTTAAGAGGGATTGCTCCTTTCGAATACGAGACCGCTTGAGCCTCTTCGGTCGGCATCTGTCTAGTTCAATTGGGGAGAGATTTGATTGACTTGGAAAATTTGATACCTTGAATGGTATGACATTTTCCGAGTTAATCAAATCATAATAATGATTGCCACTAAACTAGAGGGATGTCGACGATTATAGCTTTTAGCCCCACTATGCTGATAGCCCCAGCCTAGGCAGACTGTCGACCATCAAGTGGAGGTTTGCATGCAATATTATATGGTCGTTGGCCTATATTTGATCATTTAGGCCAGGGGGCGCTTGTTTGATCATTCGAGTGCATAACCGTCGGGGATGCTTTAAGCAACACTGATTATGACCAAGATTTCATGTGGCGCTTGTACTATCTGGTAGTACAGGCGGCTGTTATTTTTCTGCGGGGAGTACTGGCTGTATTACCATAAGGTAAAGCCTAGGGGTACCGCATTGCAGAAAATACCGGTTGTACTGTTTTACAGTGAAAACTGGTTGTATCTTGGTTACAATGGATCATTCAAACAGCCGTGAGGTGTCTTTAACCTTAGCTGGTTAAAGTCGTTTGAGTTATGACCGCTAGAACAATGTACCACCTGGAAGGGAGATGTTCTCTGCGACGAATTCACCCGTATGGGCGTCGCCAGACGCCTGCTGGGGCAGATGGATTGTTTTATTTTAATAAGATCA